TGTGCTATCTCCTTATTCACAGAGATCACTACAGCCTTTTTATCAATCTGAAAATTCAAGAGCACGTTAATGTATTTTACCATCTATGAAGGAAGCATTTCTAGTATAAATAAATCCAGAATCACTAGTTTTGCTTACATACACCTAAAAGTTAAATCAGATTTCTTGCAAGGACAAGGTAATGCTGTCTTTCCAGAATGCTCAGAAAAATGTCTGCCAGCTGATTAATTTCAGCAAAAGAGTTCTGGTTCTGATATGTCTGTCTTCTCTCCTGAAACATAAGTTAACCAGCTTGCAAAGGGAGAAACTAAACAAAGGTTTCCCTGGTACAGTCAGAAGTTAGACATTCTCAAGTACCATGAGGCCATGTGAAAACCATAGGAAAAGTAAAAAAACAACTGTATTAAAGGAGTGCTGATTATTGTATACTTGAGAAACAGAGAAACAGGAGGCTCCTATTCCTTTTACAGTTAACGCTGTGGAAATAAACATTTACATGTTAAGGAAATATATTTTCTTAACAATATTTTTTTCAGGAACGTATTCCATTACTCATTAAGGTCCTGCAGATAAGGGCAAGATGGTGATCTAAGAAGAAATACGTGTTAATAACTGTTTCTTAGCAGATCTATCACCAGTGACAGGGAAACAGCTTGTATGAATCCTGGATGATATTACCACTCAGACCTATGATTGCAGCAGCGACCAGCTCTATCATAGTACAGCTGTTTTAATAGATGTACACTTGACTAGTTTATCACATTGTCCTAAGTGGTAAGGGTGCTCTAGTTAAGCCTAAATTGTACCCTTCCCTGGATTCTCTATGTCCAAATATTATAATTACAAGAATGACTTCCCAAATAGTGATAAAGGACATAAAGATAAGTGACCAGTGTAAATTAAACTCTTAACAGCTTTCCCCTACAGCTCCTGGCTGCGTAGCTCACGCTTGTACATTTCTGGATTCAAATCAAGGTGGAACAGTTAGAGGTTTTGACTTTGGTTACATAAGTAATTGTTCCAGAGTAAATTTCTGCCTCTTCCTCTTTGCACTTTGAAAGCTCTGGAATTTATGAGTGAATGAATTTAGCCACACTGAAAGCATTAGTTGATCAGCTTCACTGTCATCAGCAGATGTCACTGCAGCCATTAGTAACTAATGAATTGTTTAAGAAGATGTAATGGCTAATTTGTCTGGTCAAAAAGACATAAACACAACCTCTAAAAATGCCTTCTATTAAGGCACAAGAAAAAGCCAAGTTCATTGCCCTTTAATTTTTAAATAGAACGAGTTCCAAATCAATTATGGATCTAAGACAAATTACTTGGTAAATTTGTGGCATCTTCTTAGATGCTGATGGGAGAAGCCTAGCTGTTGTGCACTACTTATGGTGCCAATGGATCAGGTTAAAAAAAAACCAGAAAATTAGATCTATGGAAACATAATATGAATGAGGTGGCTTCCAAAGAATCTTTAAATACTACCATCTACCATCAAGTGGTTTTTAATAACAAGCATTTATGTATGAAGATGTTTTTGTGTGCAACTTTGAGGGAAGATAAAACATTTTAAGACTGAAATGGGTTTCTACTAGTTTATGAACTAAGAGGAAAGTAAAATAAAACTTATAAGAAGGCAGCCCACCTAACTGTCTGGATTGTGGTCTGAGTTATTAGTGCAACTGGGACTTGCAGATTTTTTTCCCTCTTAAGATTGCTGTAGTTTAATTTTGAACCCTGAATCTGTTTAATGTTGTGTTTTCACTCCATTTGGAGGACAAAGTTTTGCATCTTCAAATTATAGAAATATCAGTTACCATTGTTTATAGTCAGGGAGAAAAAAAACAACAACTGAAAATGATGAACAGGCACTGGGACTTGCCTTTCTACACCCATGGAAACAGATGTCAGCTCTTGCAGAATAGAAGTGATGAAAAAGATAAGGAAAAAGACTTTCTAAAAAGTGAAGAAATTCTATTGCACAAAGAATCCCTCCTTATAGCAAACTACTGGAGTGCTTTGTAAAGTTGTGATAAATTGTGTCACTGTAGTTTGGATTGTTTCTTAAATCACATTTTAAAAATACCTCAGTATTGAGCATTATTGTTTATAACTAAGAACACAATTTATATTAAGAAACAACTACTTATAACTCCTTTAGATTTAAAGGAGAAGGCTTTAGAAAAAGAATTTACAATTTCAAGAGAGAAATGGGTTATGTTCTGCTTAGATTGAGAATGAATTATATGAGAAAGAAGTAAAGTACCTTAGGTCTTTCTTTTTTCCATTTTCCATTTCCATTACAGGCACAGTAGAAACATTGCAAGGATTTTAGGCATTTATTTGAATAAAGGAGAAATCACTTTTTAATTTCTCATGTCCTACTGAAAATTCTTAGGCTCTGGATGCAAGGAAACATGTTTGAAACTAAGCTATGCGCTCTAGAATAATCTCTTGGAATTTTTGTTCATACTTTTGTCTATTTGCTTTAAAATATTCTTCAGAGTTCTGTTTCAAACAAATTATCAGTATTACAAAATACAAACAACAAAAACAAACAAACAACTTTAAGTGATCTCAGTAAGTCTACATTCCCTCTTCTAGACGAGATCAACCAAGAATTTATATTGATCAATCTTTCTAGTCACTTCATAAAAAATTACCATAGTGGAGACTATATGGAGTTTATTACATAGTGGAGACTAAACTTTTCATATTGATCTCTGTAGATCCATTTAATGCAATTAGCAAGGTAATATTAAAGTGATGAGAATGTATTAGGATAATTATCATAATGTCAGCTGCATTAACTTCTAACAATTGGACATTGTTCTCTTCTGAACACCATGGTTTTAGTAATATGCAAAATCATAGTGATGAGTGGTAGGTTTTGATAGTAACTTGATGGTCTAATAACCATTGTCCTCAAAGTCGCTGGCTAAGGTCTGCAGGATAAGCTCTGAAATAATTAAACAATTAAAAAGACAAAACAGTGGCATATTCTGCAATTCCATAATATTTTACATGGCAATCAAGGTGGCAAATCAGGCAACATGGTGCTAATCTTCTGTCTGGTGTAACCTTTTCTATTTGCTGAATACAGAGAATTAATCTCCATTGTAGAGAGTATTGTTTGGCTTTCCTTTTTCCTTTTTTCCTTTTTCCTTTTCCTTTTTCCTTTTCCTTTTCCTTTTCCTTTTCCTTTTCCTTTTCCTCTCCCTCCCCCTCTCCCTCTCCCTCTCCCTCTTCCTCTCTCCTCTCCCTTCCCCTTCGCCTTCCCCTTTCCCTTCCCCTTTCCTTTTCCCTTTTCCTTTTCCTATTTTTTCTCCATCCTATAGCAGCAAATATTCAGGAAGCTAGGGAGGCACAATGCTCATTTTCAGGAATTACTGCTTATACTTACTGATATATTCAATCTTCATCACTGTAAAAGGATCAGTACAATAGTACACTGCCATTATTTTCTTTCCCTCCATGGACAACACCAACAATATGACTGCATCATTAAGAGATCCCTGAACCGTTTGTGATATTTGTCATGCAAAACACGTCTTAGCACTCAGCATTATTCTCACAGGACTTACACTCTTTGTAAAAGAAATAGTTACTTAAAAATTCTCTTGAGTTGAAGTGCTTCACCAAGTATATAGTAGAGAAAAAACGTTTGATGAATTTAATCTTTCTTTTTAATAGTAAAAAATAGGACATGTATACTATATTTGGCTTACCAATGATCACAGCTGTGCTAATACAGCAGAATATTAATCCGTACTTTTTCACTCAGAAAAGATTTTGGAAAGGGACATATACAACAAACATTAGCTGTAAATAAATAAAAAGTTGAGAAGCTTTCCAGGAAATATTTGTATATGTAAATGCAATCACCCATGTAGAATAGGAAGCCAGGCATGCTGCATTTATCCATATCACCCTCATAAGCTAGGTTAACTGAGTTCTTGCTGAAGGATTTCATGTTTCCAGAGCATACAGACCATAGAAAAAATACTTGAATCTCAGTTCCAAAAGATTTTTATTAATTTTTTATTAATTTTAAAAGTTTCAGAAAACAGTTGTAAGGGTTTGTTTGTAATTTCTTTCACAGCTTAGTATGAAGGGACTGGTTTCTCTTTTAATTGAGATACTGCATTATTGAATGGACAAACCAAAATTCAGTATATGAAACCTCATCATTTTATTTTTCAATTGATAGATGCAAGTCTTACGGTCATCTGACATTCCAGAGCACCTGTTTTTCAAGTCACCAGCAGAAGGAACTGCAACAGTATTTATGTAACTAATAAATACATAATGTCTGTAGATGAGACCTGAGATTTTCAGAATCAAATTGCTGACACTTGTAACAATTCTTACTTTGTTTTAGATACATGTTAATCAAGCTGTAGGATAAATTAATTACATCATCTTATGGAGTTTAAGTACAATTTCTTTATACCTTTTTTTCAGAAAAACAAATTCCTGACTTTTCAGGGATTACACGGACATAGGAGACTTGTTTTCTAAAATACCAAAGTTAATAATAGATTTTTTATTATTATTATTATTATTTTTTTTTTTTCAGGAGGAAAATCAATGTAATTCTTCCACCACTTGAAAAGATTATTTAACTACACATTTAAGTTTCTGTACCATGTGATACTCTGCATTTAAGAAAAAAAAAAATAAAAATCAGATTCTATTTCAAATCACAGAATCTAGTGAAACTCAATCTATCAACAACACATTGTAATGACATTTATTTCATAAGATTATTATATAATGACTGAATGTCCAATGAAATTAATTTGCAAATGCAAGTGCAGAGTCTGACAAACTAGAAAACGGCTGTTTCAGAGTATGGCATTTTGATCTGACGTATTCCTTGTGGATAGTCTGATGGGAAGAACAAAGCTATTAGAGAAACCTGATAGAAGTTAGATTGAATTTATTTCATTATACCTAAGAATCAATTGATATAACTTGAACTATAATTTGCCTTTTTTTTCTCATCAGATGAAACCTTTTTACAGGGTCATTTCTAATTGTAAGACCTGTGCTTGTAGAAGAAAATAAATGCTTTGGAGCACAGCTGGGATTTTGCTAATATCTAGAGTGTGATGAAAAGGGTGGAAAAGCAAGGGAAATTATGGCCCTATCACCACCTCTTCCAGTGAGGCTTGTACAAGAGACTGATTATATGAGAAAGGGAAAATTGTACTAGTCTAAACATAGTCTTCTCATTCAAGTTTTTAACAGACAGGTAACAAACTCTGTTTGAGCTGCCAAAGAATTGCCAAGATATGACCTTTTAAATTCTTCAGACGATGGGGAAAAAAGATCAATGTGAAATGGGTAAGTGGGAATAATCCATATTAAATTCTTTAACATTATCAGAAATTGAATCCAATTAAATGAGGTCAATGTCAAAGTTTGCAAATAAGAACTTTGTTTTCTATTTCATAATGTTTTCTAGTTTTATTTCCTATTCCTTCTGTTTCCTAGGGTATGATCATATTTGATTATGCATTGTTATAATTTATCTGGTATTTTTGTGGACTTCCTTTTGACATTTTGTTTTATACAAGCCCCAATATAACATGTTAAATATAGTATTTCATCAACTAAATATCATACTTCACTTGTAGCACTCCTGTGTTAGAGCCAAATTGGTATATCTATCTCTTCTAAGCCCTGATTTGTGAGATTTAAATATTTCAGCTTTTTCTCTCTAGGTATTCTCAGCATCTACTTTATTTTACTCTGTCTCCAATCACCTAATTCCCTAACTAGGTACCATAGCTCAATAACAACAAGCTATCAACTTACCCTTGTCATTTCATTTTTTCACACATTTTCTTAGTCTGTGTTCCATATCTCAGTGAATTCTTATCTGCCTGGTCCACTGCCATAGGCTTGTGTTATATAACAATAATTCATCTCTGAAATGTCAAAAATAATGAAAAAAAAAGGAAAATCACAAAACAGATATTGGCCACAGCCACTTCTGTGGATCCAAAGCTCTTAGACTTCTGTTCATCAGCAAACCTTAAAGTTATGAGTTGCCTTTTCTATCATCTGCACTGCAGCTCTGCTGTTGTTTGCCAATGGGATGCTGCACAGCAGTGAATGCTTCCTGAAGAAAGTCTCTGTGCAGGTATTCACTGTCAGCTAAGAGTGCATAGTGCAAGCTAGTAAGGGATTTTCTCTTCTATTTTTTTTTTAAATTATCACACAGTTTTCTCAAGAGCACAAAGTTAAAGGAAAAGGTGACTTAAGAACAGGTAGCAGTTCTAAAAGTGGAGCTGTAGATGGGATTAGATTTCTATGGAGTTTCAAAATTTCTCAGGAAAGTTATTGAATGTGTTATCCTTACTTCTGTTACGACATTTCATCAAAAATTTCAGTCATCGGTTGCTTTTAAAGGGTAATATTTTCCTTCCACTTGGAGATCTGATTCTTCCCCCGGGATGAACAGATGACTAGCCATTTCACCAGTAATAAACAGAAAGTCTTCAGTATCTCCTGACATTAAAACTAAATCGGTGTTAATGGAAAAAAATGCAAGAAGGGAGAACAATGGCTGATATTGTTCTCATTTAACAGATGGATTGAGACTGAAAAGCTGGAGAAAGAAGGGAAGCATTGCCCACCCTGAAGGCTAAAAACAGTGAAGAAATAGGCCTAATTCAGCAGAGAGAAGAAGCTTAATAGTTCTCTTTAAAAGAATCAGCCTTTCTCTTCACAAAGACATTTGAATATTATCAGAACTGAAATGTTCACTATCAGAAGTGTTTACCGGTGTTATAAAGATCTAATTGTGAGGGTTCTTCTGAAAGTAAAAAAGAAAATTATGTAAGTATTACTAAAAGCTATCACTGTTCTCCCATGCATATATTTCTGTGAAGTTATTTCCGAGTAGTTGCACATACTAAATATACTTTAGAAAAGAAATCATTTGTACAGTTTTCATTAAAGTTAAGAATTTTTCAATGTAAAAACAGTAAATTGACTATAGAATCCTTACAGATCTGTGGAGAATATTCTGGCTGTTCTGTACCTTTGCCACTCTATGCCACATGACATCAGGATTAAGTAATGATTTTTAAATTGACCACACACACATGCATAACGGGTAACCTGACTTTCCATCTACTGTGCAATGTGAATTGTGGTGTGGTCCCAAATCTCTGACCCATGATTTTGCTATTTCAGATAGTGATGCCAGAATGATGGGGAGAAGAGTGTGAAGTGTGTGTTCTCAGTCCAGAACAGTGCATTCAAAAATGGAGCAATTAAATGGAATTTCTTTCATCCTTTCAAGTGTAACAGAAACCAATAAAAATGAAAATATAAGTTAATAAAGGCAAGAGCATAACTAGCAATTTTACCAAATTAGGAAAAAAAAATAATAATTCAATGACAGAGCTATGGAATTAAAAGAAGCTGGACCATCAGCATCTTTAAAATTCAAGTGAGACAGTGCATAAATAATAATGATACGGAACAACTGATATTTGTAGAAAAAAAAATGACTGACACTGGATTAAAGCTCACCTACTACATGTAACTGACTTCTCACTGCATGTAAAAAAAATGAACTAAAATTGTATCTTATATATAGTGTTGGTAATAAGTCCTTAAAGCTGAAAGCTCAAATACATTTAGACATGTATTAGTTTTCTGTGGTACCAGACAGATTTACTTTATTTATCAGCCTTATCTAGGATCATCTCCTTCCTCAAGTGGGAAGCAATGAAATGCAAGGTAAATATATGAAGGCATGGTGTCATCTTTTTTTTTTCTTTCTTTTTTTTTTTCTTTCCTTTTTTAAAATCTTCTTTTATCTAGTTAGTTATTTAAACATTTACCTTGGCCTTTTTGTGAGGGTATCAACAAATTCAGTGTCATATTGAAAAGTATGAGTCTGATCTTATGTGCATATATAGGGAGATATGAATCCAGAGTCATTCCCTACTCAAAAATGCTCTTCGGATGTTTCACATATATTCATTTCATCTTTTCTTTCTATCTGCTTTAGTCCTCTCTCTTGGGTCTCAGCATCTGCTTACAGCTCTATTCCCTCCAAAACACCAAATCCTATTTAGAACATATTCAGGACATAGCTCCTGATTTTGAAGCAATCTGTCATTTTTATGAGGAGTTCTGACTCATTTTTATGGGAGGCCTAAGGGACAAATGGCATGCAGCATGCCAGAAGAGAGTGATTAGCCTGCCAAACTTGAAATCTCTAGCAAACGCCCATTGCTGTTCTAATTAACTTTCTGCATTCACCATTTGCATAAATAAATTACTTAGTTGAAGCTTCCTGGATTGCATGACTTTGCACTTTTTTTTTTTTTTAATTGTGAAACCAAAACTATATGCGAAAGCATAGTGAATTTTGTAGTTTTTCTAAATAACTTCTTCCTTCTCTGTAATTCTCATTCATAAACTATTTACAAGCACAATTCTAGGTTTAAATAAGATCTTCTTTGTTCGAGTTATAAGTTTTCTAAATAAGACATAAGTGCCATATCCTTTTAAATTAGATTTTATAATGAATAGGTCAGTGCTTTTTTAAATACTCAGCCAAGATTTGGCAAGCATATCTCAATACTAACTATCTTTCTAAGACTTTACAAGAATCTCTTAAAGAATTTAATGGACACTATAAAGAGCTGCAGCTGAATTTCTGCATTTTTCATGAGAAACAGAAAGATGAGGGAATTCTCAAGCCTACGAAAACAACATTAGAAGTTAATTTTTAGTGAAACAGCTGTAAATGGAGTACAACGTAATTAGGAAAGGAAAATCCCATTTGTGAAAATCGCAGTGTAACCACTCTACTAAGACAAATACTTTTAAAAACAACAACAACAAAACACAGAAAAACAAAACTGCAGCGTGAAAAACAGATAAACATGGTGAGAGTAGAGCTTTGGAAATATCCTGGGAACACCCAGTCTTTTTCAGTGGTTCTCTTGTTCTAGAAATAGCTAATGCTACAAAAGTAACACATCTACATCCTGCCTACTTATAATTAAGAGCAAAGCAGCTAGGGGAAGAATTCTTCAGTCACAGGAGAAATCAAGATGAATAAATGCAATAAAATAACTCTGTATGAAAATAGATTTCTTACAAGCTACAGAAATGTGGAGATTAATCCACTAATCATTTGCAAGCAATTTCATAAATGTGGGTGACTTATCATTCAGAACCTAACCTTACAAGATCAGTCCATAGTGACTTCTCTTCCAGAACCTAGACAAAGAAATCATAACATTTTGGAATGATTCATCAGCTCAAAAACTTCCTTCAGACTACAGTGCCTTTAATAAAATCAAATTATGCTGAATATCTACAAACCCAGTATACGAAAAATATAAATCACAACATGTATTTATTCCTCCAGGATAACACTGATAGGTGAAAACAAGCTCAGGATTCACTTGGAAGCCACTTTACACCGGATAGAAAGTTGCTGTGTCTCTGATCTATGTAGTAACAAAGGTATGTCATGATATTCCCACCTCTTGGATAAATGGAAAATCTTTGAATAACAGATAGACACATGAACATTTCAGGAATGCAGTGAAGTGATCTCGTCAAACTACAAAAGCTTTGTGACCACAGTGATCAATAACTCCTGTTTGGTCACCTTGCTGTACCTTATGAAGTAGGACTCTGTAGGAAAGCTGTTAGTTCAAGGTTTGAACTGGTGGTTGAGCACCTGATGAAGGGGTGTGTCTGGCCCACAGAGCACAGGCAAATTGGTTGCACCTGTGTTCCCAGTGAGACCAGAAGGGTTAGACACACTAGGCTCATATAAGGGCCAGCTGCAGAAAGGATAGATTCTCTTGACTGAAGCTGTTTCCTGAGGAGGTCTGTGTAGCTGTAGAGCCCCTTCACCAGTTGGGTGAGTTCAACTTATTTTGTGTGCATTCTATGGAACCTGTCAGGAGCAATGTTGTTTCTCTGTGAGCAGAATGGATCAAATCCAGAAAGAGTTGGTGGTGTTTCAAAGCATTCTTCAAATAGAGCAAAGACAACGTAGATCTGTTGTATCAGGTACCTAAATGTTTGAAGGTAGGAGTCATGGATTTCCTGGTATGCCAGGAATTTTCAGTCTTCTTCACAAAGAAGAAAACTGTGGTGATGCTTCAACACTTCAATGCATATAACAGCTATATATAGGGGGAAGAAAGGGAGACAATAATAGTACAGATATAAAAATATTTTACTGCAAAACTAAGATTTGGTCAGGAACTCTTCTCATAGCACCAAAACTATGCTTCTGGGAAACTCACTAGATAGATTTTCTAGTTACAAGAAGTTATTTATTGAAACTGCAGAAACTGCAAGCTCTGAGAGAAATACTAGGTCCAAATTCCTAGCTTAGCGCAAATATGGAGCGCGATGTATGTAATGTTATTCTGTCCTGTGATTCCTTTAGTCTTTCAGAAAATAAATGAAGTGTATTATTATTATTATTATTATTATTATTTTTTGTATGAATGTGCATAGTGTGAGCAAGCTGCTACTAGGCAATAATATTCTTACAATACTTCTATGCAAAGCTCTCCTGATGCACTTCCTAGTCTCTGTACTGGGTCTATTCCAAATGGTGCTATCCAGTAAAAAAGTTACAGCTAATCAACATGATTTACCAACAGGAAATAGTACTTCTCCAAATTTATTTTTGCCACTTCAAATTGAAATAATCTTGGCATTTTTTGAAACTTTTTTCTCCTCTATGACAGGATTGGAAAGTTTCTTTTTAGAGTTTCAAATGGCATTGGCGTGTGCTGTGCACCATGTATCAGTAATTGCCAGGCTACAGCATAGACTTGTAATGGAGTTAAGTGTCCCTTGCCTGCAGGTTGGAATGCAAATATAGCTGGGGGAGATAGGGGCTGCTGGGCCCCAAGTCCTGCCCTGCTGCTACCCTGGTAGTGATGCAGGAAAAGGGACACCAGATAAGGCATTGGTAAAGGGAAGACTCGAGCACGTGTTCTGCTGACAGCTGCTTCCCTCATTCCCAAACACTCCTCAGTGACTCTGCCTGATTTCTCCTTTGGAAGTGATCTCACTCAGGGAGTCACTTAAGCATGGCCAGTTACCTGTTGACACTAATGTATCCTGCTCCTTCAATGATCTCTGAAGCAAGTGTTAACTGGATATTTTAATTGCAATGGTGAGTCTTACTTATGGATGTGCTGATGAAATTGCTGTTGTCTGTGGAGTTCAGCTGGGCTAATGTGCACAGCTGGACCAGTGAGAGGGTCAGGGCTGCTCCTATCATGCCTCTCTCAACCACCTGTAGAAATTTGACAGCTCTCCAATCACCCTTTTGGTTCTCATAATGGGTTTAATAAAGGAAGTGCTGACACAATCTTAGCTGCAGCAGCGTAAGTGCTCCCCTTCAGTAAGGGGAAAAGTAGGAATATAAAAATGTCCCTCTTTGTTCAAAATAGAACAAACCAGATGTTTTCCCAGACTATAGTATCTGAAAACTCTTTCACTGATTCCAGTGTGTACAGTATAACAAAAGTGTTCAGGGGCCTCTAACTTCTTATAGGGTATTTTATTGTCTTTATTCAGTAGTTTGGATATTTGCTGTGACAATAATTGAACTATGAAAAACACATTTCTTTAAAGCATGTTACAGTGCTGCTTTTAAGGAATTGCTTGTAAACTGGAATGGAAATGATTTTCATTAATTAATGCTTTGAGTCAATTAGAGCAGTTGAATAAATAAAAATATCTGTTGTATAAAATGTGAACCACATTCACCATTACAACTTTCCAGAGCAATATTAAACCTAATGTTTTCTAAACTAGAAAAAAAAAAATTACATACAAAGAATTGATTTTCTGTATAGTTGCACACTTATTATTACTTGTTTACTTTATAACATGCAACAAAAATTTTAATTATGAAGATACACTATTATATTAGAATGTGGCTAAAAAACAGGAAAAATAATGTGGACAAAAGAAGGTTAGAGGAAACAAGGAAACTCTATTCAAGAGGAAAGTTAGAAGTCACTCTTGTAAAGTTTTACCCAAAGGAACAGCACCACTGAAGCTGTTTAACTGGAGAGTACTATGAATAATCACCATCTTGGCCCCAGGTACACATTTTCTTCCCCAGAACAATAATTAGGAAGAAAAGATAGTCATTCATAAACACTTCAGTGGAGCAAGGGGAAGTTCTAGCAATCCCAGGTGTTCAGAGTTTATAAGCAGTAACAAAAAAGGGAAAATGTGGATAACTGATGAAAATGCTGTTACTTTACTCTTTTAAAAGGAAATTAGGTGATGTATCAGTGCTGTTTAGGGAATTGGAGCAATTCTGAGGAATGAGCAAAACACATACACAAAACTTCTTCATTTTCTCTGAAACAAAGTATGTGTTAGGAAAATCATTCTGCATTAAATATTTCTTCATTTACCGTGGTAAATAATTACCACAGTAATGCTTTTTATGAATTCTCAGGTACTCAGTGGCATGTACTACTGGGCTTCAGGATATTCTGTCATGACAGTGTTAGGTTTTTGTTTCTCTGGGGAAAATTGAAATTCAACTTTAAAATTTACATGGCAAGACTGCAGTGGAATTGTGTTTAAAGGTCCAAGTAGCAAAATGAAGACAGGACATTCTAGTCAAGTGGCATCTTTATGACATTTGTGTTAGAGCCTCTGTTGTACAGTATATTTGTACGAAGGAAATTCAGTTTTTTGTTGAAATTTTTGAACAAAGTTTTAGGAACAAAATTTTACTGAAGTAATTGGACTAAGCCATTGACTTCCCATCAGGGCCTACATTTTTTTCAGGGAATAATTTTCCTGCTTAGTCATACTTGCCAATATTATTTGTATGCTTAAAAAAATTGACATTAATATATTACACGTTTAAGCATACTGTTAGCAGTGGAGCATTTTTCTATCCAATGGATAGGATAGAGGTCTAATAGCTTACTATTTCCTGAAATATAGACTCAGCTTTGCCATTTCCTTGTGTATTTATGTGAAATCAAGAAATGTTTTCTTCAGTGGATGTCTTTGCCAGAGTTGCTGTATCTTAACATCTCTACAACTGTTGTTGGACTTTATGGGGAAAACTGAACAAAATGTAATAAATACATTTTCCAGCCAGCTTTGTAACCACCCAAGGGATTTTAGTAAAGAACAATAAACATTATTATATCTTCCTTAACAAATACAGAAAAGGCATAGTTCATTCTGAAATATTTTAAAATAAAAGTTAATTCTATAGAAGCATGATAATCTTCCATGGGAATGATTGGTTTCACTTATCACTTGCTGTAAGTGTTTTGCTGAAGTTCCAAAGAGATTTTTACCTGAAAAATGTAAGACACCTTGTGCTTCCGTGGTTTTTTTTATACCATCCAACATTTTCGCCTTGCTCAAACACTCCAAATTACTAGTGTTCTGTTGTGTGTTAGGGTTTTTTGTCTTAACAAAGACAAAATGTTATACACATTTATTTTCAGTCAGATGGTTTATTCCAGTTGAATATTTTATAAATGAACACTTTAGCTAAAGCCAGAACCCTCTGTACTGATGACCAATTAAAAGGCAATTAAATTTTTTTCTTCACAGTCATGACTGGAAACGCACCAGGACTCTCGTTTTTATAGTTATGTAAGGAGCTTGAGACATCACATGAGGATAAGTGTAATTAACGGGCACAAAGCATTGTCTGGCTTTGCAATATCCTGTTTTTGCGAGTGTTCAACACTTTATCGTTCAGTCATACTACAGTCTTTAAGTCAAGGTGATGTGTGGCCTCAGTGCTCTCATGCAGTTCTTTGCTAGGAAGAAGGTGCTGCCTGCCATTGGGTCAAGGAGCCTACCAGCTCCTCATGGGCCATTTGTACCCATAATTGCTTTCTTCATGTTAGGAATTTCAGATCTGTCAGATGCGAGTATGCATCGTGCCTTTCCTTGAGTGGCTGAGATGCAGTTGTCCACTGCCCGGTGCAGCTATGGCTGACTCTAAACACCTATGTAGAGGTGGGTGCTGAATTCATTTGAGATTTATCTACAGTTATACAACATTTTTCTTATGATCCTGTATGGCCAGTCTGTCAGAGCAAGTGGCAAAATTGTACCTTTCAAGGAATTAAACTTGTAGAAAGAAACAATTGTTTCAGTTTGAATAGACTTTATCTCACACATTGAAATTGAGGTCAATTAGTGCTGTCAGGTTGTGTCATCAGAATACATCTTTTGTTTATATTTGCAGTGCATGTTTGGAATGCATTTGGATTTCTGTGTGTGAGACAGCTTTTTCATACTTCGTTCTATATTTTACACAATTATCTCAAAGTTGTTAGTTTGCTTTATTGTTTTTTTTTCTTTTTGTCATAGGAGCAACTATACCTAGCTTCTTTTAACAAAAATACTGCAAAAATTATTGATAGGAAGCAATGTTTACCTCAAGCACTGGAGTGAAATAACCACAACATATCTCTATATGGGGAAACCCAGAATCAATGTTTTCGATGGCTTTGCTTGCTGATGCTTTTATACTGCTTGAATTTGAATGGGTTCCCTCTTGTACTTCATTTTCTTTCCCAGACAGCCAGCTGGTAATCCTAATCTGGACTATGAAATAAATATGGAAAATCATTTCTCTAGAAAAAAAGGTTCTTATGTGAAATGCCCTTCTCCAGCCTTACCACCTGAGGGGCTAGATTGCAGCCACATCCCAAGATGGTTTAACGTTTGGCTGCATGGGACACTATCCCAGGATTCAGACTTATTTGGAAAGAAAACAGGTTTTATAAACTTTACCTGACATATCTGCCATCAACAGCACTTGCATTTGTAATATAATCTGCTTTGATGTTTGGTAAATGCTACTGTGCTCTTTCTCCCATATACATT